GATTTCTATTTTGTCCTTTTGTCCAGCTTCCAACAACGACAATCGACCCCTACTCCAACCAAGTGAAGGCCTCGGGCTACTTGAAGTTCTTCGGCAACGAGCTGCGAACATTCACTCTAGATAAGGACACTATCTGGTCATACCTGGATGGAAGTGAGTAGCTAGCCCAATTGAAAGTGAAAGGAGGTCGATTTCACCAAGAAGTGGATTTTTCATAGAAATGATATACAGCTAAAATGACACATGAAAACTGAGAAACTACAATGTGTCCTTAGAGTATAGTTTTAGTAGAAGTATATTTCATTGGAAGAAGTGGTCCTCCAGCTCGTGGTGCGATTTCCCCTACCCTCCGTTCTCTCTTCCACTAGGCTTCTGTTTGCATGGCCAGTTACCAGAGGTTAAGTACAGATGTCATACTTGACTATTCAGAAACGTACCCTGGAGGAGTCTCAGCTCATTGCTAACTTGGTGGAGAAGTTGTGATAGCCTACATCACCGAGAGATGTGATTCCCTCCCTGATACTGTCATCGAAAAACCTTCAGAACTACATCCCAAAGTTCAGTGCTCCGGTGACTTTCTGTTCAAAGCAAAATGGGTACTTGGGTTCCTAACTATGGACTGTGTCTTGATTTTTTTTTTCCATCGCCAGCATCTGAGTGGATGAGAGAGAGAGAGGACAAGATGCGGGTGGGCGAGAACCCCTACACCTACCGCAAGATCTTCAGCCTGGGCGGGGGCGTGCACGAGATCCCGACAGAGATCGGTCTGCCCCTGCAGCTGTGGGTAGACTCGGCCGTGGCTATGGCACTAGACGCCCAAGGCAAGGCAGTGCTGACCCCCCGCTTGACCGACATCCTACAGAACCCGGCCAGCAAGCTGGAGAGGGTGGATGTGGAAGGAAGCCTTACACCTAGGTAGGAACTGTACCGTAGGAGTTTTAATGCATATTCATAGTATGCTAAACAGTATACAGTATGACTCTTCATGTATTACAGTGGAATGCCTCTATAACAAACGCGACGGGATCTACACTAAATGTTTGGTATCGAGATTTTCAGTCACAGATGCACACTTTCATTCCCGATGCTGGCCCACATTCAAACGTATGCCAACGCCCGCTCCACATGTGTTTCAATTTGAGGATTTGGAGCCAACACGTACTTGCGAGAAATAATGTTAAATGTAAAACACGTTGAAATTCCTGCATTTTGTTGCAGTGTAGCTGAATTTGAATTTAAAAAATTTGAAAGATGAATTTTTCTCGGACACAATTTTTCTGCAACTGTGTACTCTTCTTCAATGTTTAAGAACTCATTACGTTCCTATTTGGTTGGTGAACTTTTTATACAATAAGAATTGTCACTGCAGTGTTAAAATATGAATTCTCTGCCACCATTTCAGCTGTTGGATCTGATATTTTTAAGCTAGCATCCACTTAAAAATGCGGGGAGTGAGTGTAACTGCGGACAGGAATTTGTAGTGGAAAAAAGTGATAAAGTGACGTTTGGTCTTACTTTCCACTCCCAGGGCTGCCGTGTCTGTCATGGGCAAGATGAAAGTTAGCCTGGACGACAGCCTCATGTCCGGTCTGTACATCAGCGGTTCCCTGAACACCTCCGCTGTCCTGAACGGCACGGTCAATGTGGATGTGCCCAAGCAGCTGTACCAGACACGCTTCAATACGCCGTCCAGCGAGCATCAGGCTTTCTCACTGCGCAGCCGACCATACACCTTCACCTACATCCCTGAGCCAGAAAGGGTGGGTGTTCTAATCAAAGGTTGCCATGTCTCCAATATTTCTGTCGTTGGAATAGGCGTCTGTTAAAAATGCAGAACTATCGTTATTTGATTGGAGTTCAGTTACTAGAACTCAAACGACTGCGTTTGTGCAGTCCATTTTTTTACTAGATACTCCACAAGCATAATATCTTGTGAACATTTTCTAAAGTGTTCTAAAGTTTTCTATCCTCGGATCTTGAACTTGAAAAGTTAAACAGTTCTTATAAAGGAATTCCTCAAAAAACAAGGTGGAGATTGCTGAGATTGTGGCATACTTAAATAAAGTTCTGATTTGAACAGTCGTTGTCCATGTCCCATATGAAGCATGAAAAGATTGGTCAAAATAGCATTTGAGTTTTTTTTTATCCGAGGACTTATAAGAAAAATCTTTTTACCAGACTCAGACTCCTGAGGTTGCCCGTGATTCCCAGGAGAGCTACCAGTTTACAAAGAAACTGATCAAGGGCAAGCTGATGAGTCCCAGGCCTGTCCAGGTGAGTTTTCAATGAACACCCTCCAACCGATATGTTTTGTTCTTCTTACAGTTCAACGGTTTCCATTCAGACTTCATCTACCCACTGTTTTCTTTCTGGTTGATTGTTCAATGATTCCAAAACTTACTTGTAATATTACCGTTAAGAGTTCTGGATGTAAGACAACATCAAATTATTAGCCAGGGGGTTGGAATCCTCTCCCCTCTAACCAGTTCTGTTCTTTTTTTATGAACTGAGCCTTTTGGATTTTTAGCAACTCGTTGTGGTCATTTAGACACCACTTTTGTGAAAACTGAACCTACAGTTCTCGTGCAGCACCCATTCTTCCAGGACAGGTCAGCCAAAAATACTTTATACTTTTGGATCCCCGTGCTTAGTGCAAGCGGGCTGGCACGCTTATGGCCTTCAACTTCAAATGATGGTAACAACAAAACCACATATCAGATTGAATTGAAACTTCACATATTTACTGACGAGTGTCTTCACTTTGCTACTCCTGATGTATGTTGCTTAAGTCCTCTTTTCTCAAATAAAGTTCTTCAAACTTAATGTTGATGACTCCAAGATGAGGTAAAGGCTGTGTAACGATCATAATGTTTTGTCTATGTTTCAAATATTTTCCTGCAGAACACCATCAGTGTTGGAAGGGAATCACTTGGGGTGGAGATGGAGCTGAAGACCCGCCGTGTGCCACGATCCTGCAGCTGCACCTACGGCCCTACTCACTTGGTGTTCAACGGCCCCATTGATGTCAATGTCATCCTCAGGCGCGGGGAGAACGCCCCTGAAAACGTGGTCGCTTACATGAAGCTAGAACATGAGTTCAAGACACCGGAGGAGTACCAGGAGTTTAAGGTACATAAGCCCCACCCCTCCTAACCCCACACCACCCCTCTCAAGCCCACTCCCCCGTAACACAGGTAGTTAAGCTAAGAAGGAGAAAATTCCAGTTAAGTTATCAACTGTGTTCCTCATAAGGCATCCATGGCACAGTCGACTACTTTACTAAGGGATTTTTACTAGTCATTGCACTTACCACCATTGGTATTATTCCCAAGAGTGGTTGCGTAATAAAGGAAGTCTTTGTTACAATTTATGTTTGAATAGTTTGTCACTCACATTGAGACTTTGGGGTACTTTTGACCACCCGGGAAGGCTTTTGAAGTTACTTGTAAGGTGATGGCGAGTACCTCTGACCTGAGAAGTATTCAACCTCAATACTGTTGAGCACTTGGCTGCTTCATGTCTGAGGAGGGCTTGCTAGGGATCAGCCGATCAAGCCATGCCAATAGCCTCCAAAACTACGAGGAGGTGTTTGCAAGATATTTTTAGAGTGCTGGTTAAGACATTACCGCTTCCTTCATGTCAGTGCTAAAAGGTTCCTACTGAAAAAGTCGAACTGAAAGGTCCTTTAATGATAGATATTGTTTTCAACATGAAATTGGCCAAGAAACTTTGCAACAATTTACATATTGGCCACCCAAATCACCGAACTTAATGCTAATAAATTAAAAGTCAAACAGATGTAGTCTGGTTCAATGCAATATTTCTTTCATGCTCAGAGCAAGGCCCCAAGATTATTTCCCCAAATGACATTTTTACTGAGATGACCTTTTAGCACAGAGCCATCCTTTCTTGTGTTCATGCGCAGCTCGCTCTCAGTGCAAACTGTAATGTATAAGCATCTTTGTAATCAAGCACCTGAGCCGAAGCACACCGTAAACATTCTTGACCAAAGACATTTTCCCCATCGGTGGTTTCCACAGGAGAAGTTCTTAGCCAAGCAGCACTTTGAGGTGCGGTCGAGCTCAGAGGAGTCTGACGAGGTCCAGTGCACAAACCGCAAGAGCACACCCAAACCCGTGCCCCAGGAGCACCTCAAATCATTCCGCACCATGGGCGTGGACTTCCTCAAGCGCTTTGAGGACTGGAAGTACGACAGTGCCCGTTGGCCGTTCACCGGGGAACATGTGGAGGACAGGTCACATGACTCGACTGAGGAGGTCATCCCAGATCCTGCCAAGACCATCGAGCTGTACCACATCTATTTCAACGTGAGTCGTAGCCCCAGTGGCCAATTTAACTGACTCAGTGCCTGAAGCACTCATTCAGATCTGCGTTTACATCTTGAAAGATGTACAGCAATGTAACTTGGTATATAAATCACCACACTGCACTGCCAACTGGGTAAAAGTAGACGCATAGTTCGCTAGTTGGATGCTGAAAGTATTCCTTATGATCGCTGTCTTCATACATGAATACTCATGCAGATTAAAAAAATTAGCAACATCAGGAACTGTCAGTGATGAGATTAATAAACTGCACAATTATGTCACACTAAATGTGAATGTGTGTGCACCCTTCAACAGATCAGCATCCAGCCAATAAGAGAAGAGATTGAAAATGACATCTTTGTGTGGCAATGAATATTTACACATATGCAGATCAGCACCAATGGCAGCCAGCCAATCCGTGAGCTGATCAGCCGCATCAGTCTGGACCAGCAGGATGAATTCTACAAGGCAGTGCGCTTTGATGTCATGACTGCTAAGAAGACCTTCCGTCCTGACCCTATCCACTTGGACCAGATCAAGGAGTGGACAGAGGAAATCCAGGTATTCACTTCACAAGAGAGTCAATTTTAGTTTAATTCAAGAAAACTGTTGAAATTTGGCCATGTTTCACACAGCTTCTGGGCTGAGATTACCGCTTAGCAATTTCATCTGCTAAGCGAAATGTCAGTTGTGAACCAGTTGCAAGGAGTAAAGAATGCATGGCATTTTGCCTGGTAACCAGCTTTTGCTCAGCAAATATTTTCTTTGCTCGGCAGATTTCTGCTCTTGGCGGTTGTATGAAATCAACCCCTGATTGTTTCTCAAAGTCCCGTGGAAATATAATGAAGATTCTCTTAGTTTCTTCATCTTATCAAAAGAATTATTCTGCTTACCAAATCTTACCCTCCCTTCCATGAAAGGGAAACCTTCCAGCTTTTGGTTTATTTGTTGACAAAGTGGACTTGAAACTTTTCCTTGCAATGGAATGAAGCTTCACAATAACTCTTGGTTACTTGTCTTGATCAACTTGTATCCTTGCTTCTTTTTTATAGACACTCTGCATGCAAGGGGAGCTTGAGCACCCAACCTATGGTGCGACCCTCCCTGAATCTGAGAAACTGGAACCCATCCCGGGACTGCCAGACGTCGCTCAGGATCCTAGAGTGCTCTTTAAGTTCAGCACTCAGTGGGGCAAGAGCTGCGTGGAGGACCAGAAGATGCAGATCAAGGTAACGAGTTTGACACTCAAGTTTTTTACTGGTTGATACCTGTGTTACTTACTCAGTGGAAAATACTAGATGATTGGAGTGGGTTATGAACCTGTCACCATCGGAGTACTGCTATGAGTGGTCTACTGAGTGTCAAGTGAAGTCGAACATGAACCTATCACCACTGGAGTGCTGTTTTAGTGCTCTATGATCTGACAACCCTAATGTATGAGCTTGTCACCATTGCTCGACTGACCACTTACTGAGGTTGGGTGTGAATCAGTCACCACTAGAATACAATTCAAGTGCTCTACTGACTGCCAGCTACAATGGAGAGTGGACCCATTGCCAATAGAATTCTGCCGACTGAACTGCCTGTCCCCACATCAGTGGTCTGAAATTGAGTTGTTCTGCTTTCCTATTTTCTTCACGTTTTACTAGATAATGATGTACTGGTCCAATTGCAATTGGCTGTCATATAAATGTCGGGACAGTGGCCTCCTGAACATGGTATCTTTGTGACATCTGAGAAAGACGAAGGTCCGAAAGTTGCCCGACGGGTCTTCCATTTTTTTTTCATTGTTGGTCTACAGGCCCGTCTCCAGAGATCCAAGAAGCAGCAGGAGGAGCTGAGTGAGGAGACGCCTGACAAGATTGAGTGCCTGAAGAACATCCAGGAAACCAACAACAGGTACACCCAGGCCTGCAAGTCGCTGCGTCGGGAGCGAGAGGAGCTGCGGGCAGTCCACGCCGAGCTGACGCACAATGAGGTAGGCAGACTAGGACAGGGTTCCCGCGGTCATGGAAAGTCTTGGGGGGGGGGAAACTGTTCTGTAAAGTCATGGAAAGAGTCATGGAAAATTGTTAGAAAAAAAAATAGTGTTCTGGATCCTTTTTTTATGGAAAAGAAAATCAACATCATGCTGATGTTACATTTTTGATTGGCTGCTTTTGATATGATGACGGAATAATGATAAATTTAGGCTCTCCTTGTTCATAGTAGTGGCAATGGCAGTCTTCCGTTTGATAGTACCAAACAATTTTTGTCTGCAAAATGGCATTAAATGTCATGGAAATTGTCATATCCTAGTCCTGAAAAAGTCCTGGATTTTGGTTTTTAGATTTCTTTAAGAGGGTTGGACGAAACAAAAATACAAACAGAGAATAAAATAACGACAGTCCAACAAGCAAGACTAGAAAAACCAGAAATGATTGTTCAGGGACGGTGTGCGATTTCTGAACACTCGATGATCCTTTTTTTAATCAGCCAAAAGCAAACACGATGGATATGATGATCAATAAGCTTTACTTGTTTTAAGTTCTAATTACTTCACACACCCGTAGCGTTCTAGATTTAGGAAACTTTGAAAACAGTTCATGCAGCACAGGTAATGCCTGGGCTCAGGACCTGCATGTATATAACACCAAGCACCATATTGTGAATTTGGAACCAAGTGGCTTAATACTTGCGGTCAAGGCGTTGATGTGCCAAACACTCATGGAGAGTATTCCATTCAGTGTGCTGTCAGTTTTTAAGGAAGCAGAGTGTTTAGTGCCAAATTCAGTTTCTAGGAATTGCTTCCCGAAGAGGATACGTTGATGTTAGACAAGCTTTGGTCTACCCTCAAGTGTGGATGCATGAGCCAACTGTAAACTATGCTATTTCAGGAGGCTTAGATTATAAGGAACCACTTTATTGTCTTCATCCACTCGGTGAATTTCATCAACTGATTGTAATCAATTTCAAATTCTCCTGTGTCAAGTGGAGTTGGTGATTATTGACAGGCTTACCGTGGCAACATGTGATAATTTTATCCTTTAATCAAAAATCATGGGATTTATAATAATGAAACTGAAACTGGTCGAGTAACTTGATTCGTGTCAGTGTCACACGTAGCCAAAACTACATTGAGAAGAATATTGCATAATGCAACTTCAGACATATAATACAGTGTTTAAATTACCATGTCCTACACAGGAAACAATTAACTTCGTGGCAAATGTAAAATGTTTGGAACATTTTCTTGTGTTCGTGTCCACAGCTCGTCAAGAAGACTTACAAGACCTTCTTCTACCAAGGCCTTGAGTGGATCACGAAGTTTATCTGGGGAGACGTCAAGACGGAGCGGGCTGAGGTCCACAACCCTGACAAGACAGTAAGTCTAGAATCCAATCCTCCGTTAAATTTGGAGGCTAGTGAGATAGCGATTTAGATTAGCTAAATTAAATAACCTTCAGATAAACATTAGAAATAAAAGACAGTGTCGGGGTGTAGACCCCAGTTCATTTATGTAACTCTCAGACCATTTATTATTAAATTTGTATCATTCAAGGACTGATTCAATTCTTATTAATTACCTTGTGGCATTTTCCAGAGAATATTTCAAGGTATGACAGAAAGATCTCTTAGTTGACAGAATGATTCTGTGTTTCATATTTTATCATTTTTTTACGTAGTACCAAGTTCCCTTCAGGAGGAATCTATGTCTGTATTGCCTTTTCCTCTTCATTCTCTTAGGTACTGGTCATGGGTGAGCTGGAGAAGACCCTGGACAAGCTGAACGTCTCCGTCAAGCACGTGCGCGGCAACGTCAGATTTGACCGTCTCTACATCCCCCGGTTCCTCCAGGACCTGAAGGTTCTGCAGCCGTACAAGCTCCAGCAGCACATGGTGATGAGCTACGGAGACGACCTGCTCAACGGACGCAACATCAGTGAGTCACTCTTTTCCTCTTACTAGTTCTTTCAATTGTTTACCCAGCATTGAGTACCGAATGTTTCAGTCACTTTTGGATTTTCGTTCACGCCCCTGAATGTTTAAATGAAAAAATCTAATTCAGTTAATTTATTTTGGAATTGGAGCCTGTATTTATGGTGGTTGCCTTCTATGTGCAGAAAAAATTCTGTTCAACTCTGTTATTGATGACACATGGTAGGCACCTGAATATTTGGTCACATCTCAGGAGATCTAATGTATATTTCTCTTCAATGACTGGTGATATATGTTGAATACAATTTGTTGCATACGACCTATTCAATATGCTACCCACAGAAGATCTTGTCTTTCTGTAATTCTGTTAAAGGACAGGGGTGTAAGCTGAATATTTTAAATGTTCAAATTAACCAAACTAATTGCAGATGTACATTCTTATTAACTTTTTGGGTGTAAAGTGCACAAATGGGCTTGTTGTTGAGTTGTGCAAGAATGCAGGCTGGGCACGCAATAAAGACAGCAACAATAAAAAAAAACACAAGTTGGAAATCTCTTCCCTCTTCAAACATTCTTGTCAAGTCAAGCTGTAATCTGTGATGGCGAAAGTCTTGAGATTGGTTACTCTTACTTTAGTTGTTTTTCCCTGGGCTTTTCCAACGCCACAGACCAGTGCAAGTCTCTGAGGAACAACTCCATCATCACCTTTGACAAGAGGATGTACAACTACGAGCAGAGTAAGTGTGATCACATCCTGGCAAAGGATTGCTCCAGTAAGGAACGCTTTGTCGTCTTGTCCAGGAAGTTGGCCCAGACCAGCACCAAGAAGGTTTGTTCATCAGCCTTTCATCTTGCCCTCGAAAAAAATTCTGAAATCAACATTTGTGGCCCTCTAACATTCAAAGATTCAGATTTTCTGAGATTTCAATCCACTCTGGATTAAAATTCATCCGATACTTCATCATTGTTGAGGGATTCTCTGAAGTGACTTCCATAGCACACTTTATGACATTTCATTAGGTAAATGTTAGTCCCTGGTCGACTTCTGATTTGAGTGAAGCATCCTTAATTTAACCTACCCGCAAAGAGCAAGGTCC